ACACAAGAGTAAATTAATAGACTCAAGGGTTAAGCTACCACCCGCGGTTGCGGAGCTAACGCAATAAGGTACCGCGAACGCAATAAGGTACCGCGGCCTCGTCTGGGATCAGGAGAAGGAAAAACGTGGTTTTTAATAAGTGTTTAACACTTCCGCTCGCGTCACCCTGTGCGAGAAGTAATATGACTTGATGGCTAATCAAAAAATAAAATGTTAAAAAAACTACAGGAAACAATCATTATTTTGGTACTTGAAAGTATTCATTACCTGCTCCATAGCTTCAGAGGAAGAGCGGTGTGCGAGGTCGGCGACATGAGAGAAGGCGCGCGTCCGCAGCCTCTGGCGCAAAGCAAGCACTCGCTGCCGCGACATCAGGTTCAGAAGTTTGGACTCTAAGGCACTATACACTTCTTCTTCCGCAGAGATGCGCTTACGCCACTCTTGTTTCGCTAAAAAGAAATCATATCATATATTATGATGCTATACACCTGGTATAAAAATCATAATTTTATGTATAACCAATTGTATTACCAATGTGCTAGATATACATATAATCCTACAAAAATATTTACAAAATACTGTACAGAGTTCAAGAAGTAAATAATACCTTTTTCCTTAGCCAGGTCTGGTTCCCTAGACACGACCTTAACACTAGAGAGTGACAATTTCGCCTCCAATTCCTTAACTTTCTTCATCAATTCCTGATTTATCTTCACATACTGTGACAGCCTCATATCTCCTTCCACAATATTCTTCTTTATACTGAGCTGAATCTTGTTAGCTCTGGCTGCATATTTCAGAGTGTTGTATGTGTCTTCGTAACTGGTGCTTGCAGGGGAAACATTGGCAATCATAACAGTCTTGCAGTTACCACCAAGACTGTCCTTCAGGAGTCTTGTCAGTTTTGAGTCTCTGGAAAATTAATTATTATATTAATTATTTACAATTCAAATTATTACATAGTTAATAATATACAAGAAAGCAAACACATTGACTGTGCATGTGCATTGACTGAAAACTTTCTGATATGGTGAGGATTATAGTGAGGAACTTTGTGTTACATGTTTGGAAGGTGATTCTTCAAAAGATGTTTATGAAGGTAAAAGGTTTACCTGTAAGGTATATAGCTGCTGCCATCAGCCAGCTTGTTGATGCAGTTACCCAATGATAGCAAACTCCTGTTAATATTAGCACCTTCCTTGAACCGGTCGCCAACGCAGCCGGTAGCAGACGCGCGCTCACTTCCCGCTAAGTCGATCATCGAGAGTTTTACAATACGCAGTTGACTACTCGTTTTGTAACGCATCTTTACATATACCTGTTAAAAACAGTATAAAATAAAATTTGTTACTCTTATAATCTGCCTGAAAATCAGAAAAATAGTAACAATAGTTATTAATGCCGTAACTAATCTAATAATCCAATAGGGTGCAGAACTCAATCTTATACAAGGAAACCTTATAAAAAACCTAAAATATTGTCCTACTTAATCTGCATAATATTTCAAAGAAACAATGTAATTGTAACATTGGGAAAAATGTAATTAATTATACTTAGTAGGTGAATCGCTTAATCTGGACTTAACTTTTGAGAGATACATATACTGTACAAAGTTCAAACAACATTACTATTATGTTTAGAACCTATTGTTAACACTTCTCTGCATCACCCGTGAGGTTGACTGGTAGAGAATGCCTTCGGGCATTAAGTCCACCTTTGTATGTATTTTTTTTTATATGTACATAAAGTGTTAAATAAATACTATATAGATTTTGTTAGCTGACACTGCATTATTGACACAATAAAACAATACTTAACAAAATAACTGATAATTCCTAAGTAACTTACTTGGAATACTGCATGACTCCTGGAGCTCTCAGCATTAGCATCAGTTGGATGTTGTGTCCTATTCTTATTGCCATTCTCCAGCATATTGAGGAGTTCCCGAGCAGTCTTGATACTATTTAGGGTCAATCCAGCCACCATCACACCATACTTTGAGTCTTCCCTTAGTTGCAGAGGTGTGCTTGATGGTTTTAATAAGTCATATACATTTTCATTATATACCTGTAAATGAATAAAATCATTACATGAAGAACAAACCAAAAACATATAAAATTATTGTTTAACTTTGTAGTTTTAAATATTTAATTGCTTAAAAATTAGGCTTAAATTATGTACAATGCATAGAATACTAAAAACTCAATTATTCAAGTAAACCAAATGTTTACTTTAGATGATAAGGAATAAATCAAAAGAAATGGACTATAAATCAGTAGTAACAGATAATACTAGATACATGCATCAAAAAGTACATTATAAACAATATTCAAACACTTACCTCAATATAAGAAACTCCAATATCAAACTCCCTCTCCTTTTCATAAGAATTAATTGTATAAAATAAGTGTTCCATGGTCAAATAGGTAATGCCCGGATTCTCAGCATTACCAATCATAGTAAAGGTCTTGCCAGCACCAGTAGCACCATACACAAACACAGAACAGTTATAGCCCTCCATCAGAGAAGACAAAATGTCCTTAGTAGTAGTCTCAAACACATCATTATTGGTTGCATTTTGCCCACACACATTATCAAATACAAACTTCAACTCCTTGTTGGCACGCTTCAAAAAGTTTTTATTTGGTTGCTGAACTCCTTGGTAGAAAAAAGGTCGCATTTCTTCTTTGGGGTCGAACACTAACATCTTTTCATCAACAACATCTACCACGACCCGAGTGTTCATGTCCAATTCCCTTTGGTTCAGAGGCCTAACTCTAACAACCACTTTTATATTTGCAGCCATGTTCTGTGTTGATCCACTCTTCGATGGTGCTAGAGCAGTAGACTTCGCGCCGCCCAGACCAGGGGCTCTCTCAATTTTAACCATGTTTAGAAATCACAACTTATCTCATTGAACAAAAACAGCCTGGCTCCGGACATTCGCCACACCACCACTGCAATTGAAACAATTATAGTTCCAACGGTTCCTTCACGTCACATGAATCAGAAGTCACAAGGCTTTAAATTAAATTAAAAATATTACTCTATTTCAAAACAACGGTGTTTGAATTTTCGCTCAACAGTCAAGTAACCGTCAAATTTTAAACTGACACACGCGTTCTTTCGGCGCCCGCGTTTTACGAGCGTCATACAGTTACGTTTCATTACACGTTTCTGATGGGGAAGAAAATGAGAAAAAAAAAAAGATTTAAATGATTACTTTTATATTACTTATAATTTTTATCCTTTTAATAATATACTATGGTTACTAATAATATGTATTTATTTAGAAATATTTTATCAATATAAATTAAAAGTTAAAAATTAAAACTGATCAAAAAAGGTAAACTTACACATTATATTTATTTGTCATGACTATTTAAATTATTATTAACAAATCCCTAAGTACTTTAGAAGATGAAGGAGAAAGGCCTTTAAGATTAAAGCTTTTACCTTTTATCTACTCACCAGAGATACGTACTAATTGTAATAGAAAATTAACATTTAATTTATATACAGCCTTGCAGGGATATCGTCTTTATTGTGACATTGTCGCTGTATAAGAAACAAATACAATTTCCTCTTAATTTCCGCCAGCGATCTTATCTGGACATAACGACAGGCTTAACATTCAACCGGGATTCTTACTAAAACTTCGGAAATAGACACACTTTCATTGTTCCTGTATATAATACAGCCGTTTATGTAGTCATCGCTCCGACCCTGTGTTTAATTTATATAAAACAGTTAATATATAATATTAATTGAAAGTCTTGGAACAGTGCCTATTTTTTTTTAAATAAGATCATTTATAGCTCATACACACATAAGTAGTTTTGCTGCGTTGAATATGGTAGGCGTTAGTACTAGCGGTTTAAAAAGACAGATTAGATTAAATAATACCTTTTGCTTGGGTGGCTCAGGTATAACTTACATGAAACCACCAAAACCAGTAATAAACTTATGTTTTCACGCAATGCATTTTAAGATTTTATTATCTACCTCAAATATAAAAATATACCTATTTGAGTTTGCAACTAGCTAGCTGAATATTCCTTTATTAAGTATTTTAATATTGTCTTTCGTGTTTTATCGATGGTCATAATATTTTTGCCATTATTCCCTTCCATTCAGTCAATCATACATCGATCTATTTATTTTATTTTTGTTTGTTCCGGAAATGTCGGCCCATTGTATACTTAAAGTTTGTATAAACAGAAAAACCATATTTACCTGGGTACATTTATAGGAAATTCACATTTAAATATTCGAAAAAACACAGTCATTTGTACGATCGCTTTATCTTTATCATCGTGGAATATACTAACAATTTATTCGCTTCAGAATTTTAACTAGTTTAAAAGTTACGGAGTGGCCCATCTTGCAGACCCCTGCCTTAATTATCAGGTATTACTTTACCATATCATTTTGGTATATTTACAAAAGAAACAGGTAGTTAGGCATACAAAACAATTTAATAATAAAATACACACTTCCAACGAAATGATGATCTGTATTTCGTACATTGTAATTAATAAAACAATATCAAATTAGAAACGTTGTTAACTACGTGGAACAGATGAATTCTTAATAGAAAATCTGAACGGCAAAAGCACCCTGTTATTATTCGCCACTAAATACACGTAACAACTGCATTTCACATCGAAATTCTCACGCCAATTATTTTCAATTTTAGTTAAGCACCATTTAACACTCGTATTTCAGATAGTACAGAAGTTTCCAAAATGTCAGATAAGTGTTCTATTCAAAATGTTCTAAAGTTTCTCGAAGACCCTAAATATCCGTCTGTAGGGCCACATCTTAAACTCCTAGGATTCACTGGTCTTTGGCACCCTAATCGTCAAACAGTAATTGGGCGTTTTAAGCAAATGCTTTTTTATGTCACCATAACGTTCTTTTTTAGCCAGTACGTTAAATGTTTCATTAAATTCAATACTGACTCTCTGAAATTGATTCTGCAATACGCTCCTTTTCATATGGGCATCGTCAAGTCATGTTTCTTTCAAAAGGATTATAAGAAATGGCAAGTTCTCATTGATTACATGTCGTCCGTAGAGAGAGACCAGTTGGCCAAAAACGACAAAGATCATGAGAAGATAATTCATGAGTATATTAAGAGAAATCGACAGGTGTCGTACTTCTTCTGGGCGCTCGCGTTCTTCTCTAACTTCAGCATCTTTACTGAACCCTACCAGAAGAATCAGATAAATGTGAATGGTACAAGCGTTTATTTAAAAATCTTTGATGGGTACACTCCTTTTGACAATGAGCCTCCTGGGTATTACTTCTCGATGTTAATTCAGACTGTGTTGGGCCACATAGTCAGTGCTTATGTTGTGGGCTGGGATACTCTTGTGGTATCCATAATGATATTCTTCGCTGGCCAATTGAAGATTACCTGTATGTATTGTAGGTTAGCAATAGACCTTTTGAATAGTAGCAAAAGCCATGATAACATTGCGCAGTGTCATCGTTTTCACACCACGTTAGTCGAGTAAGTATAAAAATATCCAATAATTTTTAATTCACAACAACCAAAGAAACCAAAGAAAGTGTGCCTAGTTATCATTTTTGAGGAGGGCCAAATCAAAATACTTCTCTCGCTTAGGGTGAGGCGAGAGGGAGTGTCAGACTCTTACTGGCTACAAACCACCCCGTCCCTTATCCTACTCCAGACCTTGGCCGCGGTACCTTGTTGAGTTTGCCCCATAGCCTTGGCTTCAACGTCGACCTTGATAGGCCCTATCTATGGTGGTCTAGTGAGCCTTTGAGGCGCGCGGAACTCTACGATCCGTATGTTCGAGTCTAGTTCTGGTCGTACGGCGAGCTACCATTGCTCGCCGTTTGCAGATTGCATGGTTATCTAACAATTTAATTAGATTAGTGCGTGATTTCAGGTATACACATCTATTCAATGCTTTGATCTCACCGGTAATGTTCGTGTACCTGGTTGTGATAGCAATCAACCTAGGCGTGTGCATCATACAGATTGTTGAGGTAAAAATTTTAAATATAATTAGGTAGGTATCTTCTATAATATAAAAATAAATCGCAAAATGTGTTGGTAAGCGCATAACTCAACAACGCCTGGACCAACTTTACCAATTCTTTTCTTTTATATTTGTTATTGACAGGTGAAGGTTTTATGTAATAAAATTAAAAGTAGAAGAGAGATTAAGGAAATAGGGGACCTTCCGTCGCTAGCGAAATAGTTGGAGACTCTTAAGAAGCAAGGGCTGACCGCTAGTTTTCAATAAAAATAAATATCTGACTGAAATCGTATTAACTAGTTATTCACATCCAAATAGAATATCAGCGACATATGCCTCATGTAAAGATGTTTAGGGATCGCTGATTTATCGTTTTTTTTTTTAATTTATTCACAATAGTTAGTACCCACTTAATTTCGATTTGTTCACAGATTCACGACGACATCGCTACTTTAGTATCGAGCATTTTGTTCGTGGTCGCCTGTTTAATACAACTGCTCCTCTTCTACTGGTTCGCCAACGAAGTTACTATAGAGGTAATTAATTTTACATACTTGCAAAAAACAAATTTTCACGCCTTGAGGACGCTAACGCGGCCGGTGTTGCGGAGCAGGAGAAGGAACAGGGAGGTTTTTGGTCAGTAAGAGTCTGACACTCCCTCTTGCCCCGCCCAGGGCGGAATTGGTGATTTGAGTTTCCCCCTTCAAAAAAACATAGTTCTGTATTCAATTCAATATGTACCTACTCATATGCATCGAAATAGTATCTAATTTCTAAAAATAAAGATTCTTGTCCTAAAAGAAGAATTCACTTAAAAATCAGTTCCCCTAAAATTCTTAGGATCAAAATGTTATTCAATAATTCATATGTTTTTTAGAGTACCTTTGTAAGCTACAGTACTTTCGAAAGCGATTGGCCTCAAGCGAATAATAAGTTGCAGAAAGAAATAGCATTGTTAGGACTCACTACTAAGAAGATACTCGTCTTCAGAGCTGGACCTTTCAATCAGATGTCACTAACTACTTTTATAGCAGTAAGTAACTTTTCAGAAGCTTATTTGTGACGCATACAGGAGTGTAGCTAGGCGCAACTGGCTGCCGTGCAACGTGTAGCGGTTTCGATTCCCGCACGGAACAACTCTATGTGTGATCAACAAATTGTTGTTACGGGTCTGGGTGTCATGTGTATGTGAAATTGTATGTTTGCAACCGCACACGACACAGGAGAAATTCTGAGTATGGGGCAATTATTTTTTTTTAAATGAAAAAGAAAATAGAATGCTGATATCTTTAATAGTTTTTATGACAATGCATGCTGAGCTTTATAATGCTACTTTTATGTTACACTTAGTAAGAAAACTAATTAACTTAAGTAAGGTACCTATAAGTAGGTACCTACATTAAAAACCAGCTTGATCGGAATGCGAATTAATCAGTGAAAAATGTATTGTTTTTTTTTATTTTTCAGATCTTAAGAGCCAGCTACAGTTTCTACACTCTATTAAATTCCACAAATTAAAAAATATAATATATAGGTACATGAAGTATCTATACGTATTTATGTCACAATTATATAGTACAATATTGGTATCCCAATAGTATTTAATAATGTTGTAGACCATTAGGTATATCAAAGAGTATATGGTTATATCGTCATTGAGGTATATCAATCCAAATAAATATCAAGGACTAAAAAAACATATTTTATCATTTATTAAAATCCTCGTCATGATTTCCTTAAATATTTACGAACATGATTGAAATCTCTCAGGAATATTATTGTCAAAATATAAAAAAGTCTGATAAGGGTCGTTTAATATTCAAAATTATTAAAGAGACCCTTCTTTTAACAGAAATTCTAAAACGATTTATCTATTTATTATGTAAATAATTTAATCAATTTAAAATCGACACTACTACTACTACTACCTACTACTTTTTGTTTCATTATCATCAAAAACCCCTAGGCCCTGGACCCTGGGCAGTCACTGCTGTAGTGTTGTACTCATGTATGGGAACAGTTAGGTTAAGTATATGTAATTTATGAGCTCGTTACTCTTTTATTTTTTGAAAGAGTACCGATGGAGTTTCTTCCTTTTTGAAACAAGCACCCAGCTTCACTGCGGTGACTTGACTGACAGAATTTTATTCTATTTTGACGTTTCAAAAGTACTTGTCTATAACCATAAACACAATTAACAAACCTAGTTGGAATAAATTATTTTAACTTTGACTTTGAAGCATAGATCATTTTTTTTTTTGTTCCGAAAGCGGGTTGCTTATTCACATTCGGTTTTCTGTCTGTCGTCTGAAAAATGTATAGAAACACAGAGTTAGCTACTAGATATATTACAGAGTTTGTGCTTATTATAATAGGTGTGACCAAAAAATCTTTGGAATAAGGAGGCTGTATAGGTAGGTAAGTAATGTTATGCGCTTGACGTATTGCATATAAGACTGGCGAACAGCCAAAACAGTGCACAGGGAACGGAAGAACGGATATACGGATGCTGTAATTGTTTGTTGTATCACACCGGTACCGGTGGGAAGAAACTTTAATTAAAATAATACACATGAGGTTATTTATTCTTTTTCTTTGTTGTTTTTGAACTTCGCTTGACCACTTGAAAGAATAGATGTCAAAAAAGTTTTAAATAGAAGGCAGCATTTTTCTTCGCCGCTTCTTTTAGGTCTTAATCTATATTTTTTTTTCTAAAAAAGAATCAATTAAAAAGGTAAGCTAAATGCTGGTTGCTTTTTTATACTCTCTTTTGTTTTATAGTGGAAAAAATTAAACTACCAGTCTCGTCTATCGCCAGAAAGGTCCAAAAAATAATCATATCTGATTGACATCCGTTCCATGATTAAAATTGGAATATACTTTCTGACTTCTGAATACGGCTTGATCGAAATCCATCGGTGTTAGACCGGATACCCTACAATACGATACAATCAGACGAATATTAACTAACGCCAGCGAACTTCGAGAACTCCCAAGATCTCGTCTAAATCGATTAACGAGAAATTTCGAGCTTAATCGATTCTGATTCAGCGAGTTCTCGATTGCAATGCAGTTGCAGATTTGAATTCGATTAAACGCTGTGGTGTGGTATATTTGGGTGTCCCTCGTATGAGCTATCGCTGTCCTGGCGGGCAACGCCTGTGTTTTCAATTACCAACACGATTTTGTCAGTCCAAAATCCCAAATTGATGAGCTTACTCGCCAAAGCTTTTCACCAAACAGAGACGAATAACGTTCGGTGTTGTACTGGCATGCCGGCAACGTTCCACCTAATCTATTGTGCTGATCGGTGTGTAAATGGCTCGAAAATATTCATGTTCGTCGATTCAGGTCGCTCTCGTTGACACGGTACCGATATGGCCTCGAGCAATTGTTAAACTTAAATAGGTATAGTTAGGGAAGAGGCATTTAATTATAGCCAATATTTATGTTGAATTACAAAAGAATAATTTAGTCAGACGACTAATTAGCCGTGTATGTTTAAGTAATTTGATTAACTGAAATTAGCCTCGATCTAATCCAGAATGTGGCCACACTACCTTGCTTAAAGCACACAACACAGAACAACATTTTCCAACTTCCCTGACCCAGTACAATTTGTGTTTCCCATCTAGTCCAGACTCAGTCTTAAACATAAATAGCCACTGTCACACTGCTGTTGGGAAATGTTTTCGTATAGAATATTATAAATGGATAATTTCCTTTTTGTGGGACAACTTAGTAAAGTAACGAAGCTACGGGTGTAGCGGCGGTGTAGTATTGGGACCTACATGGCATATTTACTCTTGCCATTGTTTTAGGATGATGGAGTCATAATTGCAATAGTAGCCAGTGCCATTTATTAAACACTATTTAAACAAGATATTCTGAGAGTTTTTTTTTTCGAAAGTGTGTGTCAGAGTCTTACTGACTTACCTTCCTTCTCCAACTAGGTGCCGGGGCAGCTGTACATTATTGTCCTTGCAACTGCAACCCCCGCTTAAAAATCGCGCCTAATGGGCCAACAGACAGTAGGTACAATCATCGTCACATTAGTAGCACATAACGACCATTGGGCATAGGCCTCGTCCAATGTCTACATGTGTATTGAGACGATTAGACGGTTCCAAATAGTTAATATAGTCGCTGTCCAGAGGAACGGAACTTTTAAGTACGTCTAAAATGATTGTAAAATCGATAAACATCTGTTGTGAATGTTTTCCTCATCCCAATAAACTACGAGTAGATGATTCTACGATTGACAACGTGCCGGCTTGTTCGTGGTCCGGGGGCATTCGGCTCTAATTCGTTTGTGTACAGAACCCAGTCCATATCTACAGAATTAACATATAAATTGTTTTGAATCCGACGACTACACCGCGTTAAATTATTTCGCGAACTTCGCAAATTTACATAGTAATTGCTATAACTCAAGATTTGTTGTTGAATTCCTGATTGTGCGGTTAGACAAATCTGAGTGGAATTAACGAGTTAAGACTCGAGATCTGTTAGTCAGATTAGCTTGATGTGTTTATAAGAACCACCGCTACAGAAGGGCCGTTAAGCGCATAATTTTGTGCTAACTGCGCCCTGCGTATAATGTACAGAGACTTTGGAAACTCGTTGCCGTGAATGTAATTATTCAGGGAATATTTTGTCTGCCTCAGTTTTGCGAGCTTCAGCCGTTTGTTAGTAACACGAGGTTTCGAATTTCTGAAAACGTGTAAAAGTACTAAACATCGCGTTCACTAATTGAAGCTCATTAAAAACAGACGAGTGCTGCAATTTGACGTTACAGTCGGCCGCGTTAACTTGTTTCGATTCTATTACTGTCATGTTTTGTTTCTGAAACAATTTAATTTTCCATATTACGTTTCGAAACTAACATCAACATAGAGTAAAGTTCTTAAAGAATAATATGATTTATTTCGTCTTAACAAATAACAATAAGTACCTAGAATATTGTAACTGAACAAATTTGGAAATAATATCATATAAGAGAAAGAATCACCCACACAAATTTGTACGAAACGGCTGACCAAAAACAGTTGTCATTCGCTAAACAACCGCTAACTCGTTGGAACTAACAAATTTTATTTACTTACCTGCCTCAACCAAGAGCGCCTACAAACTCGTAAAATGTTCCGATGCAATTGTTTGGTTTCAATTAAAACTGTTACCTACTCCGTTAACTTGACGGTTTATTTAAACTTTAGTGAATCGAAAGGAGTGTATGTAGGTACAACTTTTCGTAGAAATAAATAAAAGTGAAAAACCCTCACAATTTAAACTTTTAATACACTTGAGTTCCCAATAGGGCTATCAAACAGTTCAGCTATCATGGTCTGTGTTGCCAACACAACTTTCACTTGACGACTTCTCTCTAAGCATAGACTGTATGCGACCCTGTAGACTCGTTTTAATCGATTCAACTTATAGTACCTACCTATGTTTACAAATCGTGAACAGTCCACTACTGTATCTGCTGTATGTTTGAATTGCTTTTTTGTAAGAGTAATTAATATAATTCAAGTGTGGGACAGCCATGCTTCGGCACGAAAAGGTCAACTCGACCGGAGTGACACCACCACAGCGTTGTATTTCGCCGTGTGAGTGAGGTTACCGGAGGCCCAATCCTTTCCCTCCCCCAATCCCTAAATCTCCAAACCCCTTATTCCCAAAAGCTCTCGTAACTCCTATGTTGCGCCGCCCATGGGCACCCCCATGGGCGGCATTGATAACTTACCATCAGATAATCCATCTGTCAGTTTTCCGACATATTAAATAAAAAAAATATTAGTGCATCCTTTAAACCTACCCACCTAAGGTCCAGGTAAGCGCAATTGTTCCCCACGACCCCGGCCCGGAACAGGAGAAGGAACGTGATGGTCTTAAGTCAGTAAAAATCTGACACTCCCTTTCGCCTAGGACGAAGAAACTTGATGATTTTCCCTATCAAAAAAAAAAACGTACAAAGTACTAATTTTTAGACGGCGTTAACAAAATTATTATGTAGTTTAAAGGCTTAGTTATAAACTCTTAATCTGGCCAAGGCAGTATCGTACTGCCCAACCTAGTTGAACTCCAATATTCGCCACTTAACCCAGGTCACACCTACCCACCGAATTTAATGTTTCAAAAAAGAACTGAATAATAACGTTAAACGAATTTAGATTTTAAAATAAAAAACGATGATCGATCAATCAGATTAGAAGCTCATTGATTCCACCTACAATGGATTAGGGGTTCCAAGAAAATTAATAGCATCAATTTTAAAAGCTTTTTTTTTAACTAAGTAGATAATCCATAACTCAAATAACAGATTAAAAATATCCAGATCTCTAATTTCATTAAATTTTTGAGTAGAGTTGAGTGTCCAATAGTATTTTATTTTTTATTTAAATGAAAACTCATTGAGTAAAAATAACGATGATTTTTTAAATTGTATCCATTCGCTTATCCACTCTGTTCTCAACTTTAAACATTTATACAACTTACTAATTAGGTAGGTACCTATA